GTGATAGCACTGGCAGTAATTGATAACATCCAACTTCTGGCCTCGGAATCAAATTGTCTAAATTTAATATGACATAGTATTAAGATGTTCAAGATGAGAAATTTTGGCTCACTTGAAATGTGTTAGTGCTACCCAAAGGTTTGGGGTAGTAAGATTTTGCAACAAATATTAATGTAAAAGTAATTGAAATTGAAATTGATTTTGACAACAATTAACATAATTACTTTTAATTAGCATAATCTACCACAATGTGTAAATTAAGATAAATACATGGTCTTTAAAAAAAAAAAACATGGTACACATAAAATAGACATGTAAATATGTAATACATAGACTGTATGTGTACATAGAAGTTAAATGAGAACAAAGAATGAGTCTTATCACTCATTGAGTCTTCAGTCTCCACAAAAATAACCATGGGTGTACACATTTGTGGCTTGTTTCATTCATAATGCTGCATTTCTTTCACTTCTTCCTTTGTTGGTTGCAATGGTCTTTGTAAATCCTTGAATGTAATAGTTTTTTTTTTTTTTTTTTTTCATTTTTTTTTCACATGTGCATGGAGATGTGAAGCCAAAAAACTTTTTACTTGGACAACCCTCTACTTTGCAAGAGAAAAAATTGTTTCTTGTTGATCTTGGCATAGGTAATTTTCATATCTTGTAGGTTCAATCCTCATATATATGTTACTGTTATATTGTTTGTTATTGATTGTTCTGGCTTAATGTTACAGCTACAAAATGGAGGGATACTTCTAGCGGGCAGCATGTTGAATATGATCAGCGTCCTGATATGTTCAGGTAAATCAAAGACCAGGTTTATAATTGATCTGTGTAGTGTGTGTCGTTGTATAATTTCCATAGGCAGTATATATGTAAGCCTTACAAGCACTGCACTCAGCCTGATGTGTGTGTGTGTGTGTGTGTGTGTGTGCGTGTGTGTGCGCACGTGCGTGTCTGTTTGTGTGCGCATATGCGTGCGTGCGTGTGTGTGTGTGAGACAAAGCAAGTCTTCTTACAGTCTATGAGATTAAAAGTACAGGCACTTTGATACTTAACAAAATAGGCTAACATGTCTTAAAAAACAACTATACAACTTTCAGTTTGAGAACCAACTTCTATCATTATTGCTCCATAACAAGTACAAATGGACAATCCTTTTTAAAATTTCAAAATCACTCTGACTGCCTCTCTGAAGGGCCACCTGCCTCTCAGTTCGCTTTAAATGCTATTTTTATGATAAAACTTACATGGGTTAAATATTTTTTTTTGAAATAAGCATAAAGATTTAAGATAATTTGAGCTTTTGTTCAAAAAAAAAATAAAAATGATAATTTAAGCTTAAATTTTTGTGCCACTAGATTAATTAAATTGAGCTTAAAAAGATAATTGTATTGTTTTTCTAAAGAACTAAATGAGAAAATTCCATGTTTTGAGCTTTTTGAAACTGTTTTGCCTCAGGTTATGCAACTAAGATCTGCAATTGAAAGTATTATTCGTGAACAGCCCAGGTGAAATGAACCCCTAGCTCTTTGTAGCAGCTATTTATGCAACAACTTATCAGGTTTGTTGCGTTTCAGTACTTTTCAATAAGAAACTATAATGATATAGAGTATCCTATTATTCGTTGATTCTATATGAATGAATTGAGTTGTGCTTAAATTTTTTTTGAATTTTATGCTGGAGTAAACTATTGCTGACTTCGTATGAATTATCTAGCTATGTCTACATCTGCTTCCTCTCTCTTGTTCCCATATATTGATTTATAGTATTATCTTGTGCCACTAGGCAGGCATAAATGCATTATATGCCACCATTCACAATATGACCAAAGGAATTAACAAAAAATCTTAATAATTGTTGAAATGTATAGTTTGCATTTTGTTTAGTTTAATTCAATTGAATTGTGGTTTTGATTTTGCTTGAACATTTCTCTTATTTGTTGATTGATCTTGAATATGTTAATATTTTTTATGCATTATATCTTCATATGCCTAGATGCCCGTTCAAGATTTACTATGAGTAAATCTTGAAAAGTCCCCATTTGGGACTATTCTTGGAATTGTATTCTCACTTAGGATATAAATGGTTGCTTGTTTTTCGGTCAACAAGGTAACTTCGTGTTAGTATTCCCTAATGTGTTATTTGGATATATATGTAATTAAGAAATTAATTACATCGTGAACTTGGAGAATCATAGGGAAATGCTGTCGAAATTTCCTTAGTCCCGAAAAGTGGTCAACCATTTGCTAGTGGGAATACACTTCCAATGATGGGTTAGGTTGGTGATATGTCTATTTTATATAGTAATTTACCCCTGTCCCTTGGTCATAATTAGTAGTGTTTTTGGCTCTTTCGAGCCACTTTTATTACTAATTTGTATTTTCTAGTGTTTTCGTAGTTTTAGTTGTATTTTACAGGAAATTGCACTCTTGAAGCATTTTTCCGGGCTTTATGGATCAACTAAGGAAGCTAGAAGGACACGACCACTTTTGAAGCCCAGGATCGGTGAGAGCCGATGATTAAGGGCTCGGTACGAGACACTGAGGCTAGTGGATCGTTTAATCAAGACCCGATGAGGAAACTTAGATTGGGTCGAGAAATCGAGCCCAATCGAGACCCGAGCCTCGAAGAAGAAGACCGGGCCCGATCAAGCTTGCGCCCGATCGGGCGGGCGCGCATAGAAGAGTACCAGCAAGAAGGCGCGCCCGTTCGGGTGAGCGTTAGCTCGATCGGGCGCGGCTGCCCAGATAGAGTGTGAAGAAAAAGGCGGGCCCGATCGGGCGGCCCTTCGCCCGATCGGGTGCGTGTTTTCTCGAGACCTGATAAGTTAATTTTAATTTTTGTTTTAGGGAATGCTTAAGTACTAGATTTTGTACGTAATTTTTGATTACCTTCTTTCTTAGACTTTCTCTCTCTACTTAGAATATTTCTCTCTCTTAAATTCTCTCTCAACTTTTGTTCTTAATTTTTTGGAAAATTGTAAACTAATAATCCCACCTTTAGGTGGTCTTCCACAAACAATCCCACCTTTCTAAAATCCAGAAACAATCCCACCTATTCCCCCTATCTTCCATTAACGATCCTTTTTACAGGTTACCCCTTAAACCGGTGAACCTATTCTATTTCCCTCCCTAAAGTCTTTCTTCTCCAACGGTTTTCCCCCAAAAAAAACATAAGTTTCGCCATTTTTATGAAACAAAGTAACAATTAAAAAAAAAAAAAAGCTAGGTTATTCAGAAACTTATCTTCATCGAAAGGACTGCAATTGTTCATTGATTGAAGGAAATTAAGGTCCTTAGCACAACAATTCAAGGTGGGCTAATTAGAGGTAAATTTTCGACAAACCCTAGCTTTTTTAAATTTGCGAATTAAAGCAATTAAACGAAGATAGCTTCGATTAACATAGTGAAGAGTAATTTAAGTAGTTATTGAGACTGTTTGCGTATTGTAATGGGTCTTGCATGTTTGAAAATATATCATGGTGGGAAGTTTAAATTTGACAGTAATGGTTACTGGGTTTATTTGGGAGGGAAGTTCAGAACTTTTGATGTTGATGTTGCTGAGTTGTGTTGGTTTAATATGAAGGAATTAGTTGCTAAATGTGGTAATTATTCTGGAAATTTCAAACTTTATTACTTAAATCCTGCACTTGACTTAAGGGGTGGGTTAAAGTCTGCATTTACTGATGATGAATTCAGAGAATTGGGTAGGGTAATGGCGGAGAACAGAACAGTAGACTTGTATGTAGTTGTTGATGATGTTCAGCCTGAATTTGTTAAACAATCCCACACTGGATCCAATACCACAACCCAGCCCACTTCAGCCATTGTTGCCACAGAACATGAGCCCAATAGGCCCAAAAAATTGATACTTAAGAGAGCTGGCATTTTGAGTCAGGCATCTAGTGCAGTTTCAGAAAAGCTGCATGTGTTGGAAAAGTCTAAAGGCAAAGCAGTAGAAGTGGTCCCCACTCTAACAACAAACAAACAACTTCAACCATTTCCTAGATCTAGTACCTCCATTTCATTACCAGAAAACCCTAGTTAAACAACAACAACCCCAACTCAAACTGAAAACACATTAGAGCCTCATTCTGAATTCATTAGATGTGAAGTGCCAGGAGACTATGATTGGGAGGAAGACAGACCTAATAGCCCCATTGCCATAGATGAGTTACTGTATGGTTTAGGAAGTGATGAAGATGATGATGATAGAGATTATGTGTTAGAAGATGATTTGGAGGGTGAGTCTGATGCAGATGAGTATTTGTTTCAAAAAGAGGATGAGGTTAATCTCAGAAATGAGTATGAGGAAGAGGATTGGCTAGGTGATTATGAGATTTATCAAGCTAACTTTGATTTAGATGGGGAAGATGATGATGTTAGTGACATTGAAGAGTTGAAGGAGCCAGAGGATTTTGATGCTGATAGTAGTGATGATGAGCAAAGGGAGGCAAGGGAAAGAGTGAAAGGTTTCAATTGTAGTGTAGTAGAATTGGCACAATCACTACAAGTTCAAGCTGTTAAGGGTAATTTAGCTGCACAACAGGAGGGGAACAAAGGGGGTGAGAGTAGTATACAGGTTGGGGAGACTAGTAAACAAGCTGGGGAGGGTGGAAAACAGGCTGGTTACAACTCTGAATATGAAGAATCTGATGAAGAAATTCACACACCTAGGGGAAGTGATGAAGAGGAGACATTTGGGGAAAGAAAGAGCAGGAGAGGTCTGCTTGTAGGGCTTGAGACTGACTTTACTCAGTTTTAGTGGAAAGTTGGGCATATATTTGCAACTAGGGAGGACTTCAAGCAATTTGTTGCTAAGTTTGCAATTTTTCAAGGTAGAAATCTAACTATTGTGTCAGCAAATAAAAGTAGGCAACAAAGAATTGGTGTGAGGTGCAGTGAAGGGTGTCCTTTTAGGTTGTATGCCTCTTGGGACTCCTGGAGAGGTTCCTTTGTAGTTAAAACAGTAGTGTCAGACCATAGTTGCATCAGAACTATGGAGAAAAACAAGCAGCTGAAAGGGTCATGGTTGGCAGAACAACTACTTGATGTGTTTAAGGTTAGGCCTCATTGGCCAGCTAAAGAGATCATTGAAACAGTCAGGAGAGCTTACAGGGTTATCATTAGGAAAGAGTTTGCTTACAAGGTAAAGTGGCATGCTCACAAAAAGCTTCATGGCTCCATGAGAGAGCATTATGGGAAGGTTGGCAGGTATCTTGAAGCCTTGAAAAGGTCCAGTCCAAACACACAGTTGGACTTAGTCACATACATGGACAAGAATAAGCCACCACAAATTTTTCAGAGGTTGTATGTCTGTTTTGAGGGATTGCAAAAAGGTTGGATGGAGGGTTGCAGAAAAATTATATGTGTTGATGCTTGCTTTTTGAAGACATTCCTAGGGGGACAGTTGATGTCTGCTGTAGGCAGAGATGGGAATGATCAGATGTACCCAATTGATTGGGCAGTGGTGGAGGGTGAAAATAATACTTCATGGGAGTGGTTTCTGAATAACCTCAGCAAAAGCCTTCAGCTTGGTGATGGTTCTGGAACTGTGATTGTGTCAGATGAGCATCAGGTATAAACTTCAATTGTTTTTGGTTTTTTTTTTTTTTCCTGAATTCATTAATACATATATTTGGTTATGTTGGTTTTTTTTTGCTGAATTCATTAATACATATTGCTTTACTAGGCCATTCTAAGAGGGGTTAGTGTGACACTCCCTCAAGCTGAGCACAGACATTGTGCAAGACATATTTTTTCAAATTGGCACAAGAATTTCAGAGGTGATGAAATGAAATTGATGTTTTGGAGCTGTGCAAAGTCATATAGTGAAGCTGACTATAGAGATGCACTTAATAAGTTGGAGACAACTAATGCTGCAGCTGCTGCAGGCTTCAAAAGTTACAACCCAAATGTCTTCTGCAGGGCATTTTTGAAAACTGATGTGAAGGCAGATGCCATCACATCTAACATGGCTGAGACATTTAATGGGTATACCATTAATGCTAGGGCAAAACATTTGCTTTATATGTTGGAGGATATAAGGGCAGCTTTAATGAGGAGGTTGGTGATTAAGAGGCAGGAAATGGAAAAATGGAAGAGTGTTTTATGTCCAAGGATTCAGAAGAAGCTGGAATCAGAGAAAGAGGAAGTTGCTAATTGTGAGGTCATTCCTTCTTCACAGAGTGTGTTTCAAGTGAGCCATATCTTGGACACTATGTCTGTGGACCTAGAAAAAAGAACTTGCACATGCAGAAAATGGGACATGTGTGGGATCCCATGTTGCCATGCAGTGGCTGCAATTTTTTTCTGTCATAAGAAGGCAGAAGATTATGTTGATGAGTGTTATAAGAAGGAGATGTACTTGAAAGCATATGGGAATTCAATCCCTCCAATTGAAGGTGAAAGGCATTGGCCTCAATCAGAGTTGAGTATGGATCCACCCCCCATCAAAGTAGGACCAGGAAGGCCAAGGAAGAATAGAAGAAAGGATCCATTTGAGGACCCTAAAAAGCCAGGAAAGTTGACCAAACATGGCATGGAAATGACATGCTCTGTGTGTCAACAAAAGGGCCATAATAAGAGAAGGTGCCCCAACAGAGGAACTACTCTGCCACAAGCCCCACAAACCCCAGATGAGCCTCCAGCAAAGAGAGCAAGGGGTAGGCCAAGGAAAGAGGCTGCAGCTTCCCAACCTATGCACCCATGCTCTTCTACTCATCTAACAGCAATAGCTGAACCTTCAAGAATAGGAAGGGGAGATAGAGTGATCAGCAGGGGAGGCAACTCAGCTGGAAGGGGAATTGGCAGAGCTAGGGGAAGGGATGCTCCAACTAGTAAGGGTGGGAGAACTGGTAGGGGAGGGGAAGCTTCAGGCAGTATGGGAAGAGGTGTTACCACAACAACAGGAGGTAACAGAGGTGGTAGAGGAACAAGGGGTGGTAGAGGATCAAGGGGTGGAAGAGGCAGAGGAAGAAATCAGGTCCCCCAAGGTTTTGGTGTTTATTTGACATCAGATGGCTCTACATTCACTAATGTATGACAGTAACTTATTGACTATTTTATTACAAAGCCTATTTATGTGGAAACAAAACTAACTCCTTTTTTTTTTTCAATGCAGCCACCAGGAAGTGCAGGACCTCAAGATATTTCAGCATACACCACTACTTTCTCCTACAACTTCAGTCAGGGTTCCTCAAATTAGAACAACATGTAATAAGGATGTATTAGTTAGTTAAGATCAATGACATTCCTAAGTTTATGCAATTCAAACCTATGTTTATGTATCTTCATTTGAACAGAGTTTGTCTTGTATTTTGAAGAATTTCATGTTATGCTATATATTCTCTCTGTTTGTGCAATTTTTTCATAGTATATATGCTGTATTAAAGTGTTTAAAACAGTGGCTGCAACAACAATTAAATTGCAAGAATTTCAGCAACAACAATTTAACCAAGCAACATAAGTCATATATTCATTGAAATTGCCATGGTTACAAAAGTCAGTGAAGGTCAGCACCTACACTACAGTCAAGCCCTACTTCCTTCTTTAAGTCAAGCCTAGCCTACTGAATACCATCCTAGCATGCCAAATTAAGCAAAAAAACCAAACACTTTCACATCTGAAAACTACCCAAAATACAGATGTCCCAACCAACCCACAACCCACTTATACTAAACCTTCATAGCAACCCCAAAAAACTACCTTCACCCCATCGTCAACACACCCTATTTCATCAACATCACAAGGGTGAAAAATGCCCAAGAGAAGACCAGAGTAAGCATTAGCCTTTTGTCAGTGTTGTTTTCCTTGAGTTCAAACATTGTTTCAGTCGTTGCAATGCCCATTTCCTCCACCTCTTCAACCAGCTTCTCTTTCTTTGCCTTGAGCCTCTTCACTTTATCCTTCATCATGTCCATTTCATACTCAAGCTCACAAATTCTGGTCTCCTTCTCCATAACCAAATGCTGCAGATCACGAACATCATCCACCTCATCAGCCCACTTGAAAAAGCCACAAGTCCTCTGTTCCTACAAATCACCCAAATTAGGCTATTACAGCAATAACAAAGCAAATTAAAAAAAACAACAATTTGGTGCGCAAATACTTACAGGCCAGTATGAGCACCCAAAAAACCGCTTCCCCTTTGTTGGACCATCGTAGCGCACTGTCCTCAGTGGTGCAATTTCATTGTGGTAGCAAACCACCTGAGAAGACGAGGTTTGCTTTGACCTCGACCTTGAAGAGGAGCCAATTGAATTATGACTTGCCATTGATAGCGAACTGGAAAAAAAAAGAAAGCTTTGAGTACAAGAGAAGAGATGAGATGAAGAAATATGAAGAAAGATGAAAAAATTAATTGATGGGGGGGGGGTAATTTATAAAATTCTCAGAGAAGAACAGGGGAGAAGGCATTAATGGTGTATAAGCTTTTTAACGGTTGGAAATTAAATTAGAAGAAACCGGTTGTTCTAAGCAATCTAATTTTTTAACCGGTTTCAACAGGTGAAGGATCGTTAATGGAAGATAGGGGGAATAGGTGGGATTGTTTCTGGATTTTAGAAAGGTGGGATTGTTTGTGGAAGACCACCTAAAGGTGGGATTATTAGTTTACAATTTTTCTAATTTTTTTCCATTAATCCAGATTTCTTTTGGTAAAAATTTCATCTCTTTTAATTTCATCTATTTTACTTATTTATTTGATTATGCTTTTATTTATTTATTTGATTAGTTTAGTTATGATGATGCGTGAGTAGTTTTATTTCTAGGGTTTATGGGGATCTAATAAAGGATATGAAGGGGTAATTTTGTGATTGTTAATTATCAATGCTTAGTTGATTTCCTATTGATTGATTTAATGCTATACAATTAGGTTTGGCCAGATTTAATTGTATGAGTTTAGCAATATTAATTCGAGATTCGACAGATGAGAATTGATGTTTAGGCTTAGTTTCAATAGGTGGATTAATTTATAAATGGTTAAGTCGAGATTCGACAGATGAGATTTAATACCAGTAAATTAACTCTGTGATTATAATACGTAGTGAAAGCCCTTTATAATCTGATTAACCAATGCTTGATGATTGCTTATTATGATTTTCCCTGGAATATTGTTTATTAGTGAACCTATGCCCTAGGCCTTTTTAATATTTGATTTTCCCCTACTTTATTTCTTTCAACCTTATTCTCCGTAGTATAGATTTTATTCACAAAAATATTGGCTACTTAGATAATTTAGACTATAATAATTAATTAGGAATAGAAAGACTTGTTTCCCTGTGGAGTTCGACCCTACTTCCCTATATACTTTAGTTAGAGGACTTAGGTAATTACTTTTGATTAGGGGATACGACTTTACCCTGTCAAAATTTGGCGCCGTTGCCGGAGAAACGATTTTTTTTTGTTTTTTGATTATTTTTGTAGTCTAGATTATCCCCTTTTGTCTCAGAGAACGTTAGTTCTTTGAGGCAATTCTCATATTTGTCTTTTAGTTCCTTGTTTATGCCCAGGTGTTCCAGATTAGGTTACATCCCATTCGATCCTGAGATCGAGCGCTCTTTTCATAGGCAAAGGAAGATCTATAGACAAATTCTGGCGGGTTCTGAGGAGGACAACAGTCGAATAGATCCTCCCTCTGATTCTAGTGACACAGATATTCCTTCAAATTCAGAATCAGAGATGACGGCCCAGAAGAAACTCAGTGACTACTCGCAACCGAAGCTCACAGATTTCCCGCACCTTACTCCCACTCCGGCTCTAGATGGAGTTCAATTTGAGATCAAGCCCAAATTTATCACTATGATAGAGAGGAAGCAATTCAGTGGAGCTAAGGGTGAAGATCCTAATCTTCACATCGCAGATTTATGCCAATATTGTAACACCAGTAAACAAGCCGGGGTCACGCAAGATCAAATCAGGAAGATTCTTTTTCCTTTTTCATTATGTGACAAAGCTAAATTATGGTTTAATGGTTTGAATAGAACTGCACTTGGTATTACTGACTGAGAAACTCTTGCTTTGAATTTCTATAATAAATACTATCCTGCAGAGAGAACAGCGGTGCTAAGGAGTGCTATTCAGATTTCACTCAAGAGGCCGACGAAACGTTATATGAGGCTTGGGAGAGGTTCAAGGATCTACAGAGAGAGTGCCCTCACCACAATCTAGCACAATGGCAATTGATCCAAGCATTCTATAATGGACTTGGAAATTCTTCTAGATTAGTGCTAGCTTCTGCAGCTAGTGGGAGGTTCATGAATTTAAATGTGGACGATGCATGATAGGTTATCGAAGACATGTCAATACACAATTCCCAATATGGGAATCCGAGAGGGTTCGCAAATAAAGGAAAACATAATGTCGATTCCGTATCCTTTTTGCAAGCTCAATTAACGTCTATTTGTCAAAAATTAGATAATCTTACTGTTGCTCCTAACTCTGTAGCTAATGTTTCTGCTGTTGCTAACAATGAAGCTTTTTGTGAAAATTGTGGAATTGTAGGTCATTGGGAGCAAGATTGTAGGAACTCTATGGAACAAGTTAATGCCTTTCAAACTTATAGACAGAATAACCCATATTCCAATTCCTACAATGCCGGTATAAGAACCATCCATATCTTTCGTACCGGAGCACCAATGTTTAAAACCCTCCACCTCCGCAACAACCACAACAACAAACCCCACCACAGCAAAAAAATTATCATCCTAATCCCGGCCAGAAAAGCCAAGTATCACTCTCATCATTTTCCGACCCTGCCATGATAGAAATTAGAGCAATACTTGCCAATATGAAAAAGCATATGGAGAGTAGGGATGCACAAATTGATTCTATCCTAGCCCATAATAAAATCATGGACAATCAAATTGCACAACTTTCATCTACCCTACAATCCCGTCAGTAGGGAGCTCTACCATCACAACCTATCCATCCTACAGATCATGTCAATGCAATCACTCTAAGGAGTGGTTCACATTATGATGGACTTCCTATGCCAAAGGAAGATAGACCAGTTCCTGATCTAGATTCCTCTATACCAAACGCTAATCCTGCTAGCTAGTCCTGCAGGGCTACAAATAGGTACTAACTCTACTAATGTTTCTGTGCAGGGTAAATCCCATGATAAGGGAGGAGATGTGCAGAGCCCGGTTATCAAACTTCCATTCCCTAATAGACAACTGAAGAGTAAGTTTGATAAACAATTTAGTAAGTTTTTAGAGGTTGTGAAAAACCTGCAGGTAACAGTTCCTTTCACTGACTTAATCACTCAAGTTTCTGCTTATGTTAAATTTATGAAAGACATTCTGACTAGGAAAAGGGCCTTTAATGAAGTAGAAACTGTAGCTTTCATAGAGGAGTGTAGCGCTTTATTGCAAAACAAATCCCCTCCTAAATTAAAGGATCCCGGTAGTTTTTCTATCCCTTGTCATATTGGGAATGTTTTTATTGATAAAGCTTTGTGTGATTTGGGTGCTAGTGTTAGTGTCATGCCATCGTCTGTCTGCGCTAAACTTAATATGGGAGAATTAAAAGTTACTAATATAACTTTGCAAATGGCAGATCGTTCGGTAAAATACCCCTTAGGTATTTTAGAGGACGTACCAGTCAGAGTTGGTAAATTTTTTATTCCTGTTGATTTTGTTGTTTTAGACATGGCAGAGGATACACAAATACCCATTATATTAGGTAGGCCTTTTCTCCGTACTGCAGGAGAAATCATTGATGTTAAAAATGGTAAACTAACCCTTTGTGTAGGTGACGATAATGTTACTTTTAATTTAGGGAAGGTTTTGAAAGGGCCTATGCTAGAGGAAAATTGTTGCTATATTGATATAATTGATATAATGGATGATATTTGTGATGATAGCTTGCCACAGGTTCTTGCGAAGGATCCCCTAGAGGAAGTTCTCTGCGGGAATTTATCTAGAGACAATGCAAGCGTTTGGGGTAATGAGGTACAAGATATTGAAAAAGCTCTTTCCTTAAAAGAGTTAAGCCCCAAGGAAACAATGAAGGTAGTAAATTTAGTTCAGGAATCAAAACTGCAGAGGTCAAGAAACCTGAGCTAAAACCTCTCCCTTCTCATTTAAAATATATTTTTCTGGATGAACAGGAACTACACCCCGTGATCTTCAGTACTGCACTTACTAATCTACAAACTTCCCAACTTCTAGGGGTTCTCAAAACCCATAAGAAAGCTATTGGGTA